ACACCGAGGAGCTGCTACTGCATGTCCCAAGCGGGCTGTGTCTGTCTGTGTCTGCGTGTCAGAGTGAGGGAGGGAAGGAAGAACCCGCCAGAGAGGGTCGGAGACGACACAGCACACACACAGCTTCCCCAGCCCAGTGATGCTTGGGTTGACCAGATATTTCTGGGTCTGGAGCAAGCAGCCCAGGCCTTGCTAATAGAGCTTTCTTAGTTGGTGAAGACTTAAACACCTGCCTGAGGTCAGGAGGCAATTTGCCTCCCTTGTACAAAAGCTCAGGTGAAAGACTGAGATGAATGTCTTTCCTCTCCCCGCCTCCCACAAGATTTCCTCCTGGAAACCTCTTTGGTAGATGTGGCCGGGAGCTTGCCTTTATGTAAATTGGAGAAGTACACGCACCATACACTATCCACAGATATAGCCAAGTAGATTTGGGTAGAGAATACTATTTCCAAAGTAGTGTTTAGCTCACCTAGGGGGATGTGTTTGTATACACATCTGCATATACATACCCACACGGGGACATAAGCTAATTTTGTTTTTTTATAGGACACAGAATTCTGTTCAATGCTGTTAAATACGCCAATAGTTTAATCTCTTCTGTTTTGTTGTCGTTGCTTGTTTGAAGAACATCATGACATTCCAAGTTGACTTTTTTTTTTCATTGTAATTAAAATTTGAAATTCTGAACACCCTCAGCACTTCTCTTCCCCATAACTGGGGCCACCTGACCTCTGTCCCTGTCCTCTTCTTCTGCTTCCTGTTTGGGGCCTTCATTTAACTGCCTTACTGGCTGGCTTGGCTCAGATAGCAGATGAGAGTCATTTTGGGTTGCGGGTCTGGGTGCAGAGGGGACAGCTGCAGAGTGCTCTGCCGTGGCTAGATGGCCACCGCTCCTGGGTTTGGAGCCAGCTTGTTCCCCGTTCCCCAGCTCACTGGTGGGCAAATGCCACCTCCTGAGGTCCTCACCTCATGGAACTGAAATGGTTGGCCACGGGGGAAGCCTGACTCTGCAATCAGCTGTAGGGTTTTTGTTGTGTTTTATGAAATAAAACTATAATATAAATTCTCTTATTAAATGAAATTATTTTAAGTTTTAGTGTCAAACGTGAGATGCCAAGAGTGGGTAATAATGTATATTTTACAGAGCTGGCAATGGTTGGATGGGGTCATTTAACATGACTGCTCTCTGTCTCTTTTTTCAGATTATGGGGGTATTCATTCTCTGTTAGCATTTATATCTTCAGCTCATTCCACTCTAGGAAACAGAGCTGCCAATTGAAACAGGAGAAGGGAAAAAAGAGACGCAGCCAACACATTGTAGTGTCTTGCACACACACACAAATGTCCAGGCAAGGTGTTTGGCAGAACCCCAGAGCAGGAAGGCAGTGCAGGCGTCGGGTTTCCTTAGGATCGACTGCATTCCCTTGTGCCTGTCCCCCTGTGGTCACGCCATTTGGCAGAGCGGGAGATGGAAGCAGAAGGAGCTGAGGCCAGCAGGCCAGTGGTTTTAAAGGGATGAGCCCAGACTTGGTGTTTTGGGATTATCTTTATTTCAACCTCAAAGTCTCGCAAGGTGGAGTCGCTGCCCAACCCGAGCAACTGCCCTCCCGCAAGTGGACGTCGGCATCTCCTCTGTGAGGCATCTGGCCATTCTCCATCCCTGGTGTGTGGTCACCCCCACTCACACAAAGAGGGACTTGGGGTGAAGCCTGAGCACGAGGCACCTGAAGTTTCCCTGCATGGTAGATAAGTCAGAACCACAGCCCCATTGGTTAGGCCTTGGTGAGCAGATCCTGGGCAAAGGAGGGTCTTTTGCGAAGCGATGTGGTCAGAGGGCGGTTTTTGAGCTTTCTATAAGCTATAGCTTTGTTTATTTCACCTGTTCACTTACTGTATAATTTAAAGTCATTTATGTAGCTGAGACACTTCCATATTTCAATCATATCGTGAACGTTTTATTTTGCTAAATCTTGTGTCATGTGTAGGCTGTAATATGTGTACATTGTGTTTAAGAGAAAAAGAAAAACAGAAACCCACATGCCGCCATTTTCCTGAATCAAATTCTACAGTGGAATGGAGAGTAAAATACTTCTACGGGCAGGCAGCTAGACTGGCAATCGGGAGAACCAGAAGGAACTAGTCACTGAGACTCCCCCAGCCTCCTCCCTGTGGGGATCCCTGTGGTTCGAGGAGTAGGAAGGAGATGGGAAAAAATGGCAAGTCTATTCACATCCTTGCTCTGTATCTACTGGCCCTGGGTAGTCTGCTACTCACTCTCATTCCCTCTCCCCTCAAGACCCTTTGACCACCCAATGGGGAAGCCATGATTTCTCCAACAAACCCAAGGCTGTGGGAGCTGTGATTCCAAGTTCTCTTTGCTTCTTTGGACATCACTTCTGCCTCCAACCAAGGAAGCCCCACACCCAGGCTCTTGCCTCTCAGGCCAGCACTCTGACCTGTCCAGGGGAGGTAAGACTAGGAGACCCTCCCCCAGTCCCAGACCTGCCTCTTGGTGGTTGAGCTACAGCCGTGCGCACCATTTTTTACACCATGATGCTTGGAAAATTAAAGAAACAAATGACTTATTGGAATAGCTCTGTCTAGGAGCCACTGGGGCCCCAGGAGATACTGCCCTTCTCTGCCCTAGCTCTTCCCCTCATCTTGTGCATGACGAGCAACAGTGTGGATTATCCCAAGGTGGCACCCAAGTGTTTGGCTCCTGGCTGCCTAAAGTAAAAATATCACTAGAGTATTTTTATCAGAGAGAAACACTATAAAAATCTAATGGCAAAAGCAAAACAAAATGGGGGAGCGTAAGGCAGGTGGATATCGTATCAGCAACTTCCAAATGGGCTCTTTGGAGGTGAGAAGAAAGGAAGAACTTAGAGAATGGTTTATGTTTTGGGGGGGTGGGGCGTCTTAGATTCTCCTGTGCCCCCAACTTTCCCTGTAGCCAGTCTGCTGTCCTGAAACCCAGAAGTGATGGAGAGAAACCAACCAGAGAAAACCCTGTCGAGAAGGAATGTATTTGTTGCTAAATTTTGTAGCACTGTTTACAGTTTTCCTCCATGTTATTTATGAATTTTATATTCCGTGAATGTATATTGTCTTGTAATGTTGCATAATGTTCACTTTTTATAGTGTGTCCTTTATTCTAAACAGTAAAGTGGTTTTATTTCTATCACGCATCTGCTGGCTCTTGCCTTGTTGTGTCCTGACGCCCACTGGAAGTTATATAGGCACCAGAGGGCCTTGACATCTGTCCTGCTGCCCCAATTCCAGGCCTGTGCACACTCCCTCCCCGACCCACTTCTACAGGCTGCCCCTGCCCCACCACCCCAGTCCTTTTCCCTTGGCAGGAGGAACTTCAGGAGAGGTAGCCTAGATTTCCTCCTGGCTGCTAATCCAGCCCTGACCTCGATCCCGGACTCTGTTGCCAGGGTTCTTCGTAGTTCTACAAGGTCTGGATTCTCTATCCAACCACTCATGGGGGCGGTACAGGTACCCCCAGGCTAGGGCCCTGACTCATCCTTCCTTGTTTTCTCCCTAAGAATCTCAACCTGGTGGAGGTGGGGAGGGGAGGCCTTAATGTCAACTGCCTGCTTGAAATTCCGAGTATGGCTCAGCCTTGTTGGGGATGCCAGGAACCGATGAGGTTCCACAACAGCTGGTGGCCCTCTCCCAGAGTGTACAGAAGGGCCTGTCACCCTCAGTGGCAGGGACTGGCCACAGACTCCTTGCCCAACTTGCACCCCACCATTGACAACGTTTCAGGTTATAGCTTTTGCCCCTATTTTAGAGCTACTCAACTTTGAGCATCTATCATATGCCCAGCATAGCACTTTGTACTCATGATCACGTGAAATCTCAACAATCTCATGAGGTTGTTCCACTGTCATCCATAGTTTTTAGCCAAGGAAGCCAAAGTTCACAGAGATTAAGTCATTGCCCAAGACTGGTACACAGACAGAATTGCGATTCAAACTCAGGCTGGTTTGATGATAAACCCTGAATTTTCTCCACTGTATTCACACTTTGTTGGAATGTGACGGGTTTCACATGTGCCCTTCTTATTCCAGCCAGCACATCCTGGATTTTCTGACAGTCACTGGATCAGATGTAAGGGAAAGGTACTCAATAGAAAACCTCTGCTTGGTTAGACTGCTTCCAGTTAGAACCTGTAGTCCTGCCTGTCAATGTCTCCAAATAGGCTTGTCCAGCTCAGCAGCCTGAGAGCGAATTCTACACACAGGCCACAGTCCCCAGCTGGGACTACAGGGTACCCTACTAATTATTCTGTTTCCTGAGACTCACAGCCTCTGCAAGTCCAAGCACAAGGCCACAGCCTGCATTCCTTTGACCAGTTTAGCAAGATCACCCGCCATACAGCATGACTGTTTCCAGCTGCCCACAGCTCCTACACCCATGTTCTTCCAGCTATAGATGGAGAACTGTCCGTCCCATTCAGAAAGACGTTAGCCTCTCCCCACCAGGTATCCTCCAAACGGAAGGCTCTACCACGTACTCCGAACTAAGCCCCACCTGCTTCCCAGAGACAACCACAGGGGTATTCAAAAGTTAGAAAGTGAAGAGGACACAGAAGGAAACTGCCCTTCAACAATCACTGCAAACAAAATATTACTGCTTTTTATTAAAACACAAGTTGAAACCAGGTCCCAGAAAGGGCTCAAATGAAATAACATCCTGCCTTGAAAACACCTTTTACCTTATAATCAACCTCTGGCTCCAACATGCCAGCTCAAGTTGTCCCCTGATTTGTTGAAAGTTCCTGAGGTCCCCCAAAATGCTGTCCACCTTTGTCCTACTGCCTGAAGTTCACCTGGAGAAATGATTCTTCCCCCAGGAAATCCAGGCATTCCCACAGGACACTGGGGCTCTTCCTCAGAGTCCAGGTGGTCAGGGAGTGACGCCTGAGCCCTGGGGACTCAGACATCTGTGTTCATGCCACACTATGAAACAGAGTAAAGAAGGGTACTCACCATTGGCTTGTGGTTGGGAAAAAATGTTTGCTCCACCAGCGGGAACTTCTCAGGGCCCAAGGAATGGAAGATCTTAATGAGCTGAGAGAACTAGAACAGAAGAGGAGAAAACATTGATCAGCCATTGGTACCCAGTATGGTGACACCTCTCACTTGATCCTGAGCTTCAAGTATCTGCCTGCTCGAAGCTGAGCTCCCCTAGCTGTCCCTGGCCTGTAGGATAAAGGCCAGAGTCCTCAGCTGGATGTTCATCCTCTCCCTTATCTAACTGAATCAACCCCTCCATTTCTGCCCTAGACCTGGTAAGTGGGTAGGATCCTGGAGTCAGCTCAACTGCATTTAATGAGCATGTACTACATCCTCAGCATTTCATACAAGGTCCTTGTCCACAGCACCACCTGCGGATGTTCATGCCATACCCTCTGCCTGAAATGTCTTCTTTCTAGAGAGGAAGCACTGCACAGTAGTTCATGGTATAGACTTTGGATCCAGCCTCCCTAGGTTCAAATTTTCTCTCTACCACTTACTAGCTGTGTAACCTGGGAAGTCACATAAGGTTTCTGAGCTTTGTTTTCTTCACTTGTAGACTGGACATAACAAGACACCCTACCTCATAGAACTGTTGGCAGGATACAGCGTGCCTTTGTCCATAGGAATGCTCGAATGCTAGATGACGTTACTATTAATAAATATTGTCCCTGCTGTTACACTTCTCATTTCCAATGGCTCAAGCCACATCCCTTCCCACTGTGCTTGTGCTGCTTCAGCCCTTCCTTGTTTTGCCCTAGAGGGTGAGTTCCATCACTGTGTGTCATTATCAGGGCAACAAGCTAACCTTGAGGGAAACAGGCACATGGTGGAGATAGGAATGTCTTCGGCCTAGGCCAGAGGGAAGCATGGAGGCTGTGGGACCTGGAAGGGGGATGGAATGGGGGGCAGGGACACTCCCTGGAGCAGATGACATAAGAGGAGAAGGAAGGATTTCTCACTGCACTCTAGGTGTGCTATGAGACTTGTGTGTGCTGGAGATCCTCAGCGGCTGCCATGGCTGTGGTCCCAGGTGCCGAGGACAATGAGAGGAGGCTGGAAGGTCACCATCAAGACCACCAGGAGGCTTAAGGGCCAGCCAAGGAGCCTAGAATTCTCCCAGAAGGCAAAGGGGAGCCACTGGTGGATACAAGCAGGTCAAGGTCCTGATCAAGGTCCCGATCAAGAGGATGGAATCAGCTGCAATGTGTGGCTAAATGTGGCTGCCCAATGGTTAGAAAAGAGGCCGAGTCTCATGCCCATCTGTCTTGGACGGTCATCAGCCCAGGATTGTTCTGCAAACTCTTGGGGTGTGGCCTATATGTGCAGTGCAACAGGGAGTCAACTTGGAGGGTCTGGTAGACCTCAGAAATGTGGGAAATGATGTGAGGGTCCCTCATTTTATAGATAAGGAAATTGGAGTCCAGAGTGGAAGCTTAAATCCACAATTAAGCACATGGGTTTCAGAAAGGCTCAGTTCTACCACTTATTCCTAGCTCTGTGAGCCTCAGTTTCCTCACCTGTACAATGGAGATGTTAGCAGTACCTACTCACCAGGATCATTCTGATGATCAAACACAATATGCATGTTAAGGCTCAGGATAGTGCACAGGTAGTGCTAATGAACTGTGGTCGCTACCATCATGATAAGTGTAGGGGGAAAAAGGTGAGGGGGGATGGCTAATACTATTTAGGACACTTTTCTAACAGTGGCACTTGAATTTTGGATGCCTTAGGCCAAAAGTTCAGTTAGAGCAGAATGAGAAGGAGACCAGGGCCATGATAATAGTGGTAAAGACTATCCACATCTATTAAATCAATGCAGGTAGACATTCACTAAATACTGGGTGTCCACTCTGCCCAGGCCTTGTTCTAGGTGCTAGGAGCAATGATGACTGTCACCATTCATTGAATGTATACTTTGTGCCAACCACCTTTAAGAGCACTGAGCACATGTTAACTCATAACCCAAACAGGAAGGCCCTGTTATTGTCATCATTTTCCAAATAAGGAAGCTAAGTTCAGAGAGGTTAAGGAGGCTCCCCAAGGCTACACAGCTCATAAGTGTAGGAGCCAGGACCTGGGAGTCTGGCTCCAGAGCCCATACTCCCAAGCACTGCCCTATGCCACCAGGTGATCACACAGACAGACAGCAATGCCACACAGACCAAATGGCTACAAGCTTCACATGTTACATTCCCCCCAACCTCCAGTTATCATTCCTCCTTCCCTCCTTTGTTTTGCCCCTTGGCACTTATCATAGGTCATATTATATATTTGGTATATTTATTAATGCATTGCACTAGAATGCCCACTAGAATGTAAGATCCACTGGGCGGGGATTTTGGTCTGATTTGCTCACTGCTATGTTTCTAGGACTTAGAACAGTACCTGGAACAGAGTGAGTGCTCAATAAATATTTGTTGCACGAACAAATTACTTCTAGCCAGGGAGACAGAAAATGCACAAATGAATGGATAAATACAGCATTCTAGGTGGAGATAAGTATTTGAGGAAAAAAAATAAAGCCTGGTAAAGGATTTGAGAGTGTTTGAGGGAGCGGAGAGGTGGTATTTTAGGAAAATAAAATACCTCTCTGACAGGTAACATCTGGATGGAAACACAAATCAAATGAACGACTGAAGCTAATGAATAAAAGAAGAGAAATCAAGTGTTGGGTGCTGAAGATAGATGGCTTCACGTTCTGGCTTCAGCACTCACTGGCTACATGACCCTGGAATTTCATTCTCTGCGAAATGGGGGAATGACACCCACTTCGCACGACAGCGACAGTATGAGCACCAGGTAGCACAGTTTTCTGGTACGTGGTAAGTGCTCAATCAGTGGTGCCTGCTATTAATAGCAATGATGATAAGATCATAGAATGCTAATCAAAACAATACAGTACATTTTTATGACTAATGTTATTATAACACTACTGTATCATAATACGTAATCATATAATATTGTTTAGGCAACAATTCCAACAGGAGTCCTGGTATTCAAGTGGTTTCTTCAGTTGCGTAAATATTGATAAGATTCTTATCACTGTGGAGAACTCCATGCTGGGGAATGGGCCCACTGCAGGGCTGGGAGGCCACGCACTCCCTCCCAGCACCCTCCAGGTCAGCCTGGCCTGTCACCTACCACCCAGGGCTTGCTGCAGAAGTTGTAGACAGAGTAGAGAGAGTTGACGGCGGGCAGCCCCCCATACTGCAGGCCGATGACCAGGCTCCGGTAGTCTTCGCCCAGGGCCATGCTGTAGGCGTGCTGGCGGACCAGGATGAAGTCTGGCTTGAAGGATCTGCTGAGAGAGGGGTGAGCAGGGCGTCATTACCACACCGGCACAGCACTGACCCGCAGGCAGGCAGCTACTGCACTACAAGGTCAAAGGACTGAAAATAACACATACTTCCTTCTGTTTGTTTTTATGGGCTCTTTTCTAAACTTTCTACACGGAGCATATATTTTATTTGCAATCAGAAAAAGAAAGTATCAAGTAACTCAGTGAATGGACTGAGATTTCCCCAGGTAGCAGCACTGGACTGAATGTATATATTGTTGTGAGGACACCTGCCCCAGGAGGTGGGTATTGTGCCATCAGCTCCCTGCTACAGATGAGCCCTCTGAGGCTCAGGAAGACTGAGTCGCTTGCTCAAAAAGACACAGTGCAGGGAAGTGGCAGAGCCAGGTCTGTGTGGCCTCGCAGCTCTGGCTGTCAATCGCCGAGCAGCGTGGCCTCCTTCCCGCAGATTTCAAATCAAACGTGTCTCGTTCCCTCCCAGCAGCAGCATCGGGAAAGCAGCGAGAGTGCGCATGGGATGGCCAAGTCCATGGCAGGCTCTTTGCTGGCCCCTCTGGAGGTATGATCCCAGTGAAATCTCACAAACAGACCTGGGCAAGCTGCAGACTGTTTCCCCATCTACAGACGGGGACAGCGCAGCTCGGAGAAGTTAAGAACTTCCCCAACTCACGAAGCTGGGGAGCAGGAAAGCCGACGTGAACGCCGGTCACCCGGCTCCAAGCCCACGTGGTTTTTACTCCAGCACTTGGCCTCAGAGGGATTCACGCATTATTTCATGCACACTGCCAAGAATCTACCTATTTTTGGATTCCTCACTTCTAAGACACATGAAAAAATCAGCCTCACTGTAGGTATGAGGCTGACGCTCAAAATGGTATCCCATCGATCCACTTGTCTCGCCCAGGACCAGACACTTAGCTTCAAATAAATTGTGTCTCTAAAATAATTCTAATGTCGATTAAAATAACTCTCCAAGGCAAAGGATCTTCCCCCACTGAAGACAGAGGAAAGGAATGTGCAGCTACTTCTGAAATCATTCTCAGCCAGAGCCTCACTGTACACCCAGGGCCCGACCCCACACGAGCAGGGCCGCAGTGACCATGTGCTGCAGGAACGGATGACGGGCGTGGACGCCGCTCCTTACTGCCAGGGGAAATCGCAAGTCTCCGTGGCTAAGTCATAACACATCTCGCGGGGGCCACTTGGGTGGGAGCATCCTCTCCACAGGTATGGTTCACGGTGTGCTCAGGGCAGTAGCCAGTCAGACTCATATTGCTCTGTGGTCAGGGTTAGGGTGAGAATCTTGGAATTACAGCAGCAGGGATGAAAGAGGAATGAAGGGAGAGCACGTGTGTGCCTCTGACAGGGATCTGACGGCCACAGGGATCACTGACAATATAACCACTCACTGCTTCTATCTGATTTCAAAAGTAATGAATGGCTGAGCACAGTGGCTCATGCCTGTAATCGTAGCGCTTTGGGTGGTCAAGGCAGGAGGATCCCTTGAGGCCAGGAGTTTAAGATCGGCTTGGAAACATAGCAAGATCCTGCCTCTAAAAAAATAAAAAGTTAGTCCCAGATACCCGGGAGGCTGAGGCAGGAGGATCGCTTGAGCCCAGGAGTTTGAGGTTGCTGTGAGCTAGGCTGACGCCATGGCACTCACTCTAGCCCGGGCAACAGAGT